ATTAAATAGTGATATTTGAGCAGATCTTATCAAGAGGTATAAAGAACTTATAAATCCAAAAATCAAGGAAAATCGATTATAGAAAAGAGGAAAAAAAATCTGGTATTAATTATGGGAATTTAAGAGGAAGAATATAACTAAGTGGTTATTGCTTCAGTATTAGATATAGATGTCAGATGGTCGTAAATCATTAAAGAACTTACATTATTAAGTTTTTAGCTGCAACATTCACATATTATTACTCCGTATGACCTAAGCTCACAAAAAATTCATCTGATGAAAACCACACTAGAAATATTATACTAAGTATTATTGAAACATGCAAATCAATTAAGAAAACTAACAATTTCCCCTTAATATATGAAGGGATATGTAATAATATGATATGAAGGGATGCAAATCAATTAAATAATATTTAATAATAATTTTGGAATAATATTGTCAAACTTTCGAGGGTTTTAAAAAATAATCATCATAAAAGATTTTGGTGGCTTTCAATCTCTTGTACAAAGCCACCACATAGGCAATAAACCAAATAGTACATATTAAAACTACTACCTAAACCAAAGGTGTAAACACACGCCAATATAACTTCTCTGCAAGAGCTAGCCCCTTCGCGCGCATAGGCCACCCTAGTAAATAATAAAAGTTGATATTCGACAACAATACATTGAGATATTCCAACAATTACCTACATTACTATATTTTTTGAAATATATATATAAATCACTAATGTGGGTCAAAGTGGATTACGTGAATTGAGCAAAAAGTCAACATAAGGCATATCAGGCATTTTATAAAAAGCAGAGGGAGTATTACATATACGTAAACTTGTCAATCGGGTCAGGTTGCTTCGGGTCACGGGTCATTAAAACTTATGGTCATAGCGTATGAGGGGAATGGTATGTATGGGGAAGCATGAAAAAGGAAAGTATGTGAATGTAGAAAGTGTGAGGTATGTAATATATGGAATGTGATGTAAAGGGAAAGAATTTATTTGTGAAATGATATGGAAAAATCTGGGAATATAATGGACCCTCAACTCAAATGACGGAAAGGACGGCTCATGCATGGACCTAAGACATGGTCATGGTGTGAAAAAAGTATGTACAAAGTGTGTACGATGACTCGTGAGTGAAAGTGACATGTGCAAGACTCGTGTGATGACCATGGGACTAAGTATGTGATTAGACTCAAGCAAAGACTAAGTTAAGACCTCGTTTATACATTAAATCGGTTAATTATGGAAATTAGACTCGACACGAAGACTCGAGAAAGAAAAACCGAACCATCGCGTGGCGATGGAACTTTCGCGGAATGCTGGTTCCATCACGGCGCGACAAGATTGTCGCGGCGCGATAGACTTGGCGTTATGCGGCACAAACCAAATTTTCACACTAATCAAGGAGTCAATCTAGTTTGTTTTTTCGGTGATCCTTTCAAAGGTTTAAGCCTATGGACTACTAGGTCGAGTATGTTTAGACTTCATATGTTCAAATTAATTAAGCAAAGTCCTTTTTAGTCCTTGATTAGTTTGTTAAGACTTTATTTACAAGGAACAAGGCAACACAAAAGGTTAGTTTAATCACAAGTAAGGTATGCATAGTAAGGAATGCACAAGCAGTCAAATAGTCACAATATGATGCAATGAGTTTGCAACCTAACCATAGCTCTAGATCTCTAAGGTCAAGGATTATGATGTCCAAGAGGGTCCATGGTTATGAGTCCGGATGCATCGTGTGGAAGCCTTACCTTAGAAGGGTTGACACAATGGATGGGACCCCGCAAGTTAAACTTGCTTCCATGGTTTGATGAATTCACAAACTCGGATGCACCCATTGTTACATGGAGCATTCATTAGGGTGGATGGAACGTGAATCCCCAGGGGCTAAGATTATATGTAGAACACATATGGGTTCTGAAAAGTCAAAAAAAACTCAATTAGGAAGTAAAATCGGCAAAACAGTACTAGACTCGGTCAAAACACGAAAGCAGAAAACTGGCGCAATGTCGCGAGAACTCGGCGCGAGAAAACAGCAGCGACAGTCTCTATCGCGCCGCGATAAAGCTGTCGTTTGGTGACAGTTGTTGTTGTCTCGCGACAGTTCCAGGGCGTCGTGGTAATTCTGGAATTCGATGTTTTTTTTCGATTTTTAGCAGTGTTTATTCAATTTTAGTTGGGAAAGATATTTCCAGCTTTTCCTACGTGTAAAAATCCTATGTTTTTGACGCATTACGGAATCTTTCCAATACGAACCTTTTTATGCTTATGCCACAATGTTAATCAAAATTACGCTCATGAATATCTAGAATCTTTCAAATCTCATCCACTCATTCTAAATCAATTGCCAAAATAAATTTTAGGAATCAAAATTAGAAATCCTCCCCAGTGGAGTCGCAAAAAACTGTAGGAAATTTTTCAAACTCAACTTTGAGCCCCACTGCGATCATGCCTTTAAGCATGGTGGCGTCCAAAGGGAAGGAAGCTAGAGATAAATGAGTCGCCAACAAGTTTAGGAACTTTTATACCGTTCACGAGTGTGAAGGTTACACCCCATTCACGATCACGGAGATCGCTAACTCCATAGTGGTCCGCAACTATGACTGGATTTCGGGGATGATGGTATGAATCCAACCTAAAAGAGATTGAACCCGCCCTAAATCGGCCTCTACTAAATTCTTATGATATTCATGTGCGCTTTTTGATCATCATACATACATCAAATCAACCCTAAGCATATTTAATCTATGTGGTTGATTATTAATGCACAATTAAATTATTATTAGTGATCACTTGAATTAAAATCATATTAAGCCTAAATCAAATTATTAATTATCTTATTAGGCGTTATTTCAAGAAAGAGGCATGATAAAGCAATAACAATAATCATGAATAATCAAGCAATGTATAATTGACACAACAACCATCATCATAATCAATATAATCATAATCTCATCAAAACATGATTAATAGCAAGATCCTAGGCATGATACTAAACGAATTAACAATAAACCCTAGCATGTCACTAATAAAAATCATAATCAAAGCATTCGCCTAACATGATACTAGAAAGCATGACATTAGAAATATTAATTAACACCCTAAACATGATACTAGGAATCAAAATCAACATCCTAACATGATACTAGGAATCAAAATCAACATCCTAACATGATTTCTATATCAAGATAATTAAGTAATCAAATTACTCACTTTGATGTCTCGTACCTCTTTCTATTAAAACAATACACGCGTTAGTAAACTTCAAGAAAGATTAAATCAAGTAAATTAAATAAATTGAAATATAGATTTGGGACCAAACGCTTAGAACTATCAACCTTTCACGTCGAGGTTGCAGGACTTCGAGATTGGCTAGGAGTATTCGAAGCTCGTGATGGAGGTATGGTGTTTGATTAGGGAAAAGTATCAAGGATGTATTTAGGCTAGGCTAAGAAAAGAATCAAGAGAGAGAAAGAATATTAGAGAAGGGATTTGATGATGATTGTTGGTGACCAAGCTTGTTGATGATTGAAAATAGGGTGGAATGACCTATTTTTATAAGGAAAAAAGAGAGTCAAAGGATCAGAAAAGAGTCAGAATCCGAATCGAAATAAAACGCTTTTCATCGCGGCGCGACAGGTCCATCGCTGCGCGATAGTGCTGTTGCTCAACGATGGTTTTGGAAAGATAGGATTTGTATGGAATCTGATTTCCAATCGGATTGGGTTAATCAAATTTTCGTACGTATTCTAATTTGACCGGGACTAGGATCATTGAAAAATAGATGTTTTATCCGATGTAAAATTCTTAAATCTTTATCTTTTAAAAAATAGGATAAATTAGAACCTTCTAGAGGATTCTAGAAGCTCACAATAAATCCTAATGGATTTAGGAACGAAAACAACATTCTAGATGATTCTAGAAGCTTGTAATAAATACTAATTGGTTTAGGATTGAGGTTAAGGTTAATGAACCCTCCACATGATCATTGGGTCGCAGGTAAGGCTTGGTTCGGGTTCGGTTTAGTATTTTGGCTATAACTTCCCGTTATAAGTCGAATTTAGGCTTATAATATATCGTTGGAAAGCTATTTTCAAGCCCTATCCAACTACACAATCGTTTGAACATTGTACATTAATAATCCGAATTTTAATAATTGAAACTTTAATAAGAATCCGCTTCAAATGGCCCCAAGACTCCTAACTGGTCATCTAAGTTGTTATAACAAGTTAAATTACATGTGTCTACACAAGATTGGTCAAAAAATAAAAATAATATAAATATATTAAAAAAATTTAAGAAAAATAAAAAAAATACTAATTAATTAATTAAAGAACCACCCACTAGCCCAACCACCCTCCCCGCCAACCCGACCTCTGTCCCCCAACTCCGACGACACCCAGACCCCCCTTCTCCCCCGCGTTGGCGCTGCACTGACCCCCTTCCTTAACCACCAACCCCAACCCTCGAAAACCCCCTTCCCCCTTCCAATCCCGGTTCCTCTCCCGTTCCCCGTCTCGATTTCGGCCCCCCTCCCCTTCTATGTCCCGATTACGACCCTCCTCCCCTTCCCCTGTCCCGATTCTGGCCCCCTCCCCTTCTCCGCCCCGATTATAGGCCCCCTTCCCTCGTCCCGATTACGACCCCCTCCCCTTCTCTATCCCGATTACGCCCCCCTTCCCTCGTCCTGATTTCGGACGCCCTCTCTCCTGAAACAGGAGTAAGGGTGGTTGTAATGGGGTTTCGGGTCAGGTGGTAGTGGTGGGTGTGGGGCTAGTGGCTCATGGGAGGTAGGATGGTGGAGGTGGTTGGGTTGGTGTTGGTGGCTGGGTGGTTTGCGATTTTTTTTTTTAATTATCTTGAAACTAATTATTTTTAAATTTGTTAGTTTTAAATTAGTTAATTAAGTACATTACGAAGTACAAACATAGAGCTAATATAGAGCATCCCAAAAAGCTAGTTTCAACATTGTACATATGCATCGTTTGACTAGCTTTTATTAATGATGAAACTCTTTTTTCTTCCTGTAAATTAATTAGAAATAAATAAAAATAAAATAAAAATTGTACATATGCAGGCAAAGTACATACACTACATAGCTAGTTAAATACGAAGTATCTGATTAGCAGAAGCAATTCATCCATCATCTTTGCGACGGGACAGGTCAACAATGACCACTTGCTGATTTGGTATTAAGCGTTCTTTCAAAAAAAACAAAAAAAAAAAAAAAACCATGATAATGGAGCTGCCAAAGAATCAGGATTAACTGATAACCAGGTTAACCAGACGGAAAATTTGACAATGAGGAATGGTGTTATTGAAGCCCTTACTTGAAGATGTGATATGCTGACCAAAGAATTGAATCTCACAGGTTAAAGAACTCCTGTCGAGGTGGAACAACGTCTCGCAGAGCTTGTATTCATCCCACATTCCGTCCATAGTAGTGGTTACAGAAACATAAACCGATAGCACCTCTAATGCTACTGAATTGCTCAGAATGTAAGCCATCATCTTAATATCATCATCCTCATCGACTCTAAGATCTTTGATTTTTATCCTCTTTAGTCGAGTCAAGCAAAGAGGAGGTGCAAAATCTGGTGGTAAAGCCCATGTTATCATATCTGTATGTGTTTCAAACGCTATATCAAGAGCCTGCAAGTTCGGAGAACATCTTAAGAAAAGCAGCACATCATTCCAGCTACCATTATCAGCATTCACCATCCCAGATTTGATGCTAAGATCGGTCAAATTTTCCAAAGGTGGCTGAGGGTTGTCGCCATCCAAATCATTAAGTGCACTTATTGTACTGATATTTAGGCAAAGTGACTTAACATTAGAAATCAGTTTAGCAAGTTCTACTGTGTTTCTAACATAATCATCTTCGCCAAACAACCCAGATTCTATGCAAATTTCTGCAGAATTTAAAGCACTTGAATGCTCAACAAAGTGAACAGAATCTACCGTAAGAGCTTTTAATGAGATAATCTCAAGCTTTGCCAAATTGATCACAAATTTTATTCCTTTTAGTGTTTCCTCGACTATCTCAACAACCAACCTTTTCAAATTAAGAGCTGATAAATCAAAACAACAGACACCCTCTATATAATGACCTGTTATAGTCAATTCTTCCAATAACAGGGAAGACTTAAACAGTCTGGTCAACAAGTCAATGGCTAAAACATCGAGATGACAACTGAACTTCTTCAAATTAGGAAGACATACTGGTGCACAATCAGGCACTGCAATAACCAGGGCTCCCCTCAAAGTGAGCTCAACGACAGATCGACATTCAAAAACACAGATTGGTAGAGGAATATAAGACCCAAAAGATGCTGTTACCTCAATTCTTTGAGGATGTCGGCCACAAATAGTACTCATCCAAGATTCAAAAGAGTCGCCGTAGCTTTCTTGCATATCATTTGTAAAGGTACTACCATAAGGAAATTTAAGACAAAAGCTATGAATTTTGGACGCGGTGAGCTGCAGAAGGATGTGGTCGACAATTCTAAAGAATGGTTCAGTCCAGTTATAGCAACCAATACTAGACTGGAGGTGATAGAGATCAAAGACAAGATGAGTGACCTGAGTCCAAAGGTATTGCCATCGGCGAGATAAGATGGAGGTTGCAGCAGCGGATTCTATTGGGATGACAGAAAGAATGTCAACTAAAATGGCATCCGGAAGTAAGCTCAATCGATCAATTTTGTCCGTTGATTCCAATATCTGCCTCTTGTTGCCTTCTCTATTCATACCATTAAATCCATCCTCCAATGGCCTAGATCCTGCCTCCATGACAAGTAATCTGTCCACCAATTCAATAAAATTCTTCGTAAGCATAACATCGAATTAAGAAATGAGAACAGAACATAAACTTATCAATGCCATGAACCCTAATATCAGAATCAAGCCGTCAAACAATGCACAATGTTCTCCATCATACCCAATATTTACATAAAAGCATGGACAACATCATATAGTAAACAAATTTATTAAAAAGATGGGAGTAATGAGAAGAGTTTAATCCCATTATCATACCCCAAGCGATGTTCCATCTAAGAACCAATTGACAACTACTAAAAATAATAAAAAGACTATTAGCTAATTTGTGAGACCTATGCACTTGAACATGTATATCGCCGATAAACGGACCTTTACTCCATCATCATACAATAATACCATAACAAAACGAGGTTCTATCCTAAAACCAATTGGTGATACGAGGATTAGTCTATTCAATGTGGGACAAATTCTCACATGGTCGTAATCAACACAATCGGGTACAAATCGCATAATTTAACTACTCAAGTGAGTTCCTTAGTTCGAATTTTAATTTAATTCATCATCAGCAAAGAATTAATCTCAGCCAAAGAATACAAAATCAAAGAATGCAACTTTTCAGATTATTCGGCGTTGGGCGCCTCATCTATCTAGCGGTGACCAGGCCGGATCTAGCTTATTCGCTCCACATTCTATCTCAATTCATGCAGGCACCGCGCGAAGAGCATTGGGATGCAGCTTTGCGGGTAGTTCGTTACTTGAAGGGGACTCCCGGTCAAGGCATATTGCTTCGTTCAGATAGTGACCTCACATTGGAAGGACGGTGTGATTCAGTTGGGCGGCTTGTCCTCTTACCCGTCGTTCTCTAACAGGTTGGTTAGTATTTTTGGGAAAATCGCCAATCTCTTGGAAGACTAAGAAACAGGATACAGTTTCAAAATCATCTGCAGAAGCAGAATATAGGTCCATGTCAGGGGTCACTTGTGAGTTAAAGTGGCTAAAGGCTTTGTTATTAAGTATGGGTGTTCAACATCCTAAAGCTATTCCTCTATTTTGTGACAGTCAATCAGCTTTGCATATTGCCAAGAATCCGGTCTTTCATGAGCGAACTAAGCATATAGAGGTTGATTGTCATTTTGTTCGTGATGCAATAACCGAGGGTTTGATTTCTCCTCATCATGTGCCTACTACATCTCAATTGGCAGATATTTTCACAAAACCACTTGGGAAAGCTCAGTTTGATAATCTTCTTTTCAAGTTGGGCATTTATGACTGTCATGCTCCAACTTGAGGGGGGGTATTAAGATAGATTTAAGATTATTTGGATAATATTAGGATTTATCTTTTCCTAGTTTATCTAGGTTTTCCTAGAGTTTGATATAGGATAGGAACTCTAGTTGATTATATCATAAATACTTTGATTATGTGCTAATGAAAGGCAAGCCAAAGTTTATTGGTAGTTCACATTTCTACAGAAATCAACGATTAATCGCACAATAATTACAGTAATCATCAATTAAATTTCAAAACACAGGAAAATTAAATTAAAAGGGAAAAGGAGATTAAAGAGAAAAACATCATAATTTAGGGATGTTGTTGAATGAATACAAAATTAAGCAGAAATTTACACATAACCCTCAAAGATTGAAAGACAAAGAAATGAATTTTTCATATAAATAAACAAAATTGAACTAACCCTTGGTGATTTTTCGGGAGAATGTAAGTAATTTGAGTGAGCAACGAACTCAAAATCAACAAATTTCGATTCTGCTTCTGACAGAAAGAGAGGAGGAATAGAGAGAAAGTAAGAACAACATTTTGAGGGTTGTGTCTGAGTGTCTGACGGCTGAACCGTTAAGCTTTTATAGTAGATCGGATTTTTTCAATTAATATTAATAGAGTGTATCCCGTGCTAACGTATGGGATATATATACGATTATATGTAGTATGTATATTTAGAAAGAAAAAAATAGTAAAAGTGGAAGTTATAGAAAAGTTTTTTTTATTTAATTTTTTTTTTAGAAGTGGAAGTTATTGAAATGTTATTGCAAAAAAAAAAAAAAAAAAAAAAAACAAAGTTAAAATGTAGGAGGGATTAGATTTTGAGAATTAAGGGTTTGGAGTGTTGTGGTTGAATGTTGAAAACGACTCTTAAATTATATAAAAAGACTCATATAAGAACCCTCCTCTATATAAGAATTCAATCTTATATAAGAACATATCTGCACCGTTGATTTCCTTTAATCTAACCGCACAAAACACACCTTTAGTAATGGCAATTTCGTAATTTTAAGCAACTTAAAATTTGAAATTTTCTTTGTTCTTCTCTTCCCCGTACACTTTCTGTCTCTTCTAACAACTATCTTTCTCTCTCAATATTTTCCCCTCTAATCCCCCCCAAAATCATACAAGTTTCTTCAAAATCTTCATAAAATCTGTGTAAACTATTGATATATTACAACATATCATTGATTTTCATCATCCATTTTTTTCAGATTTTTTGTTATGGTTTTATTTAAAGGTATGATGTTAAATTAGGGTTTATTTATCAATCTTACAATTTCTATACTTTTTTTTTTTGACACAAACCAAAGCTTATCATTTATTAATTCATCAAAAGTTCAACATCATTACAAATCGCCCCATGAATTTCCGGGGGATATTCCTCTAACCAAACATGATACTCATTAAAATTGTTACTTAACAAAGCTAAGCTATGAGCAGCTCCATTCCCTAACCTCTTAACAAAGGAGAAAGAACAAACATGGAACTCCCTAGACAAATGGACGATATCTTTCACAACATTTCCAAAAGCATTCGAGGGTGAAATTCCTTTCTTCATGTGATGGAACAATTTAATGTTATCCGTTTCAAGCACTAAATTTCTGAACCCCGCATCAAGAGCAATCCTCAAGCTATGCCGCATTGCAATGGCTTCACCAACATCCACTTCAAATCTTCCCGTGAAAGACGAGCAGTAGGCAACAAGGACTGCCCCTTCATGATCTCTTAGAATACCCCCTACCTCGAGAGATTGTTGATGCTGGAAACAAGCATCAGAATTCAGTTTAAGCATTCCAACCTCAGGGGCCTTCCACATCGAACCCAAGTATTGCACAGGTGCCGTAGGCACGCTTCTTTCCATTGCCAATTCTTACTCTCCAACAATCCAGAGGCTTTGTGAATTATGTCACTCTCAAGCTTTCGTTTCTTCTCAAAAACCCATGCATTTCGCCTTAACCACACGCCCCATGCTAGACTCCAAAAATTATCCCACCACTTGGGTTCCTTAATTTTTTTTCAGAACCAAAGCACACCAAGCACGAAGGCAGCTAGCATCATCAAACATAGATTCAAGCCTCAGAACAGAATGCTTCCATATAGGCCTTACGGAAGAGCAATGTAGCAGCATATGTATAGTAGTTTCCTCAGCTTCCCCACACATTGGACACAAGCGATCAACATTCATCCCTCGAGCAATTAGACGCATTCTGACTGACAGAGCATCCTTTATACATCTCCATGCAAAAAATTTTATTTTTGGAGGGATTTTTGCGTGCCAGATGGTCTTCCATTTGGAGGGTGATATCTCAACTGATGTAGACTCCCTGCTCAATTCCTCATCTTTGATTAACAGATTATAAGCACTTTTTACGCTATAGTGGCCATCCTTCGAGAAATGCAAGCACCATTCATTAATATCATCATAGAAGGGGATTGGGATACTACATATTTCATCAATCTCTCTCTGAGTAAACAACTTTGCTAGTGTGCTCAAATTCCAGCTCTTATCGTCCCACAATTCTTTCACAAAGATTGGAACATTTTCCCTTGCACCCATTGGCGAAATAACACGAAAATTGGGAGATTAGGCACCCAAGGATCCTTCCATATGCTAATACTACTTCCTCCGCCAATACTTTTCCTTGCCCCCTTTTCAATCACATTCCTCACACTAAAAATTGATCTCCAAGTACGTAAAGCTCATTCTCAAGACAACTTTTGCCCCAAAAAAATTCGAGGTCGGAAAATATTTACCTTTGAGAACCCGGGACATCAAGGATTGCTCATTAGTTAATATTCTCCTTGCTTGTTTTGCCAACATAGCTTTGTTAAAAAGCTGCATATTTCGAAAGCCCATACCCCCGTTAATTTTTGACTGATACATCTTGTTCCAAGCCACCCAACAAGTCTTCCGATCTTCACCTTTTTTCCCCCAAAAAAAATTTCTACACACTTTTTCTACCTCATTAAGGATGCTCATAGGGATAGAAAAACATTGCATAGCATAAAGAGGGATCGCTTGGGCAACAAATTTGATGAGAATCTCTCGCCCCGCCTGAGATAAGTAGTTCTCTTTCCAACCCTTGAGTCTTTTCCAAACTCTATCTTGAATACTCTGAAAAACCTGTTTTTTAGAACCTCCAATGTAAGTTAGAAGGCCTAAATATTTATCATGTCCTTCGACAGGCTTAAAAGATAACTTCATTTGAAGAGTATTTTTCTTCTCATGATCAATGTTTCGGCGGAAAGACACCTCTGATTTTTCCATATTCAATTTCTGCCTAGAAGATAACTCATAGGTCGACATAATCTCCAGAACTTTGTCAGTTTCCTCCTCATTTACCCGCACAAACAGCAGACTATCATCTGCAAAAAAAATAGGTGTTAATAGGCTCTACATGTCTCCCAATTTTTACCCCATGTATAACATTTCTCCTTTCTACATCCCGAAGAAGGGCCGAGAGACCCTCAACGCACATAATGAAGAAAAATGGTGATAAGGGATCACCTTGCCAGAGTCCTCTACTTGGCTTGAAAGCTCGAGATGGTTGTCCATTAACAAGAACATCAAAAGATACCGATGAGACACATTTCATAAAATTTTCCACGAACCCATCCGGCAAATCAAATTTCATCATCATTTTCTCTAGAAAGTCCCATTCTACCTTGTCATAAGCTTTGCTCATATCGAGCTTAAGACCCAGAAAGCCTTTTTTCTAGTTTTCTTCTTACGCAAATAATGAATACATTCGTAAGACACTAAAATATTATCAGTAATGAATCTTTCAGGAACAAACCCGCTCTGTGACTCACTAATAATAGAAGGTAGTATTTTTTTTTAAGTCTGTTTGTTAAAACTTTTGACACTATTTTATACAGTACATTGCACAGACTAATAGGCATATAATCAATAAGAGACTCACACTCTTTTTTTTTTCGGAATCAATACAATATGAGTCTGATTAATAGAACCTACATCACCTCCATTATTAAGAATATTCAATGTATTTGCGATCACATCATTACCAACAATACTCCAAAATTTTTGGAAAAAAAATAGCAGACATACCATCGGGTCCTAGGGCTCTTGTGGGATGCATTTGAAAAAGCGCTTCACGGACTTCCTCATCATCAAAAGGGGCAGCAAGCTCATGGAATTGGCCCACCGAAACAGCAGAGTCGATCTTTTCAATCACATTCTTGACCTCCACAAGGCCATTCGAAGAGAACAGGTCATCAAAATACCTCACCATGACTTCTGAAATCTGCTATTCCTCCGTATATTTATTGCTAGTTGTATCCTAAATTTCTTTGATGTGATTTCTGATTTTCTCTGGCTGGCCTTCGTATGAAAAAATAGTTGTATTTTTGTCCCCATACTTGAGCCAGTCTTATCTACTTCGTTGCCTCCAATAGAGTTCTTCCCTGCTTTCTAATTCATCCATTCTATCATCCAGAGCTCGCATTTGTGCTATTATTTCATCATTCTAGTTCCACGCCATCAAACTCTCCATACTAGCTCTGTACTCCTTCAATTCTTTGACAAAATCTCCAAATTTATTATGGCTCCAGGCAATCAAATTCAGAGATGTGTGAGCAATTTTTGAACAAATATCTCCACCCTAATCCCACGCATTCTTCACAATATCGCCGCAAGTTTCATCTCTAAGCCACATTTCTTCAAATCTGTATTCTTCACAATAATGTCCCTGTCTTATGCTTCTTCTCTTCCTTGGGATGGCCGTATAAACCGGTGAATCTCCATGCTTCCATACTCGGCATCTTGACCCAAGAGTCAGTGTGGTTTAGGGAAAAGGATCTAATTTCCACATCAGTAGTATTTTTCCATAAAATAGCAATCCCTCCACTTCTTTTTCAACCATCACCAACACAACTCATTGCTATACTTTTTTTTTTGTTGAATTATATGTTTGATTCAAATTATAATTTCACTGATTTTTTTGTTGAATATCAAGTTTTTTTATTCAATTTCAATCGATTGTGTAGTTTTTTCATTATTGGTTGCTTTTGATCGATTTTTTTGCTTTTTTTTGTTCTTTAGTTTGATTTGCTTGTTTTTCTTTTTGTTCTAATCATTCCAGATCTTGTTTAAATATAATACTAAGGTTGATTGCTTGGTTTGGTTGTCTAAATTGCATAGTCTTGGTTTGGTTGCTTGGTTCTAATTTCTACTTTGCAATTGTTTTGAGTGTTGATTTTGTTTGTAATTTTAATTTTGTTGTTGATCTCAATTCAAGTTTATAATTTTAATTTCATCATATAATTTTTGGTTTTTTTTTTAGAAAAGTACCTGGAAGGATGAGTACATGTTACCTTTGATAGACCTTGATTAATTTGTTGCCTTATTGAGATCCCATTTGGTTATTGTTCCTAATAGTGTGTAGTTTGCTATACTGCTTTCTTTTGGAATTGAATATTGTTTGATCAATGTCCATGACTCCATGTTTTGAAGACAATTCAAGAAACCCATGAAAGTCATTGCTTCATCATCTTTATTAGAGTAATATGAGAGCTAACAATAAGGCCATATTCACAAATAATTATAGTAATTAGATAGAGTTGTTGCTTGGTCTTTGGGCAAGAGGTTTGTTATGCTCATCATGAACCACTTTCTCAATGCAATGCAATAATTATTAGGTTATACAAGAACTGCAATGAGATTGAACATCTAAGTTCTAGTGGAATGGGTATTTGCTTAGATTACCTATTTGTCTTACATGAGAAAGATGGCCTATATTAAAACTGTTGGAATAAAGGAAGGAATCCAAATGGCCTGACCCGGGCGCCCGACCGGGCACGAGAGCAACCAATCTTTTAGCTGATGCTCGCTCGACCGAGCGAAGCTCCGCCCGACTGGGCACGAGAAGAGTCGTAAAATTCTAAGTTCCGTCGCCCGACCGGGCGTGAGAGGGAGCTTGGAAATTGAAGGAAGTTCGCCCGACCGGGCGAGCTCCGCCTGACCGGGCGCGAGAGCAGCCAATCTTTTGGCTGATGCTCGCCCGGCCGGGCGAAGCTCCGCCCGACCGGGTGCGAGATTCGGCTGTTGGGTTGCCCTCCTTGGATTCTCTTTCTTCTTCCTCTTCCATTTGTAACCCCGCACTTAAGAGGTGTTTTATGATGATTAAAACAACTTCTAATTGCTGATTATTTTCCATCCTTTCACCTTCTTTTGATCTTTCATTTTCCCTCTTGCTTTTCTATATATTTTGAAGTCAGAATTTTTCTGATATATATGCTCTCATACATATACATGCTAAACATAAGAGCTAAACACATTTTTGAGCCAAACACATTTTTCCTTCTTTGGGCATAAGTTTGCGTAGGCTCCACCTCTCATTCTAAAGTGCCTTAGCGTGAGAGTGATGTGTAACCTTAGGGAACGATCCGGTGAATACAATTGAGCACCCCGGTTACACCGGAATTCGTTTTCAAAGGCAGTGATTATTCACGCCACACCGAATTTCCTTCTCTTATTTTGTTCTTGTTTTATTATTGCTTTGTTTTAGACACCTAATTTTAACAACAATTTTGAAAACGAATTATGTCTATTACTAATAGCATTTTGAACAAAACTCTTCCCGCTCTAACTTGGAGCCGCTTGATGGTAACAACTATAAGAGGTGGTCACAAAAGTTGCTAATCTTTTTTGAACAGTTGGAAGTTGACTATGTGTTGAATGAAGATGTCATTGAGACCCTCAAGAATGCGGAAGAAGCTGCCAAGACCTCTACTAAGGCAATCCCAGCGGCCATACACTAGTAGATTAAAGTAAATGGAAAGCCACAAATGGGAAGCGGTTATTAAATTCCGCTTCCAAAAACACCTAAAAAAAACCAAATCAAGTGAATTGGAAGCGGTTTGGGTGAACCGCTCCCAAATCGTGTAATTGGAAGCGGTTGGTACAGTGAACCGCTTCCAATTATAAAAAAAATGAATATGAATTTTATTAGCCCATCTTCTTCTCTCTCCTCCCTCCCCTCATTTCTCACGCCCTTCTTCTCTCTCCTCCCTCCCCTTATTTCTCACGCCCTTCTTCTCTCTCCTCTCATTTTTCTCCATCTTCATCTTTCTCATGCCTTATTTCTTTCTCCTCTCTCCCCTCCATTCTCACGTTCTTTCCTCTCTCCCCTCCATTCTCACGTCCTCTCCTCTCTCCATCTTCTTCTCTTTCTCCTCTCTCTTCTTTGTTCTCAAGCTTCCCTTTCTTTTCTTTCTCCTCTTATCACCGGCTACAACAACCACCCACCAAGCAACCACCAAGTAGCCCACAAGCAACCACCAAGAAACCATCAAATAGCCCAAATCGAGCAAATACGAGCAAAAAACAAGTTAAATTCGACCATGGAGTTCTAGTTTTTTAGGTAAGAATTTAGATCTAATTTTTCGTTTTTTCTTGGTTCGTATTAGCTTTTTCTGGGTTTGTTTGATTTAGATCTAATGAGTTAATGTTTTTATGTTTTTAAATATGTTTTTTTTAAATTTTTTCTGGGTTTTTTTCAATTAATTCTGAGTTCGTATTATTGTATTCTGGGTTCAAATTTTTATGGTTTTTTTTTTTAATTTTTTTTCTGGGTTCATAATGTTCGTATTAATTTGGTTCTGGGTACGTATTTTTTATGGTTTTTTTTTAATTTTTTCTAGGTTTTTTCTGGGTTCGTAATCTTTGTATTAATTTTTTCTCGTTCTGGGTTCAAATTTTTTATGCGTTTTTTTTTTAATTTTTTCTGGGTTTAAATTTTTTCTAGGTTATTTTTTTAATTTTTTTGATGATTATAGATAATGATGTTCATGTTTTCTGGGGATGTGTTGCTTGTATCAATTAATGCGAATCTGATTTTATTTGTTAATGAAGTTTTTGATTAAATTTGTTTTCTGGGTGTTTCAATTTCATTTTGATTTTGAAGGTTGGATGCGAGGTGGTGTCGGTTGAGGTGGTGGGATCCTGGCGTCTATTGCGGGGGTGGGCTGCTAGCGTCGATTGGTGACAGGCTGGTGGCTTCGAATGCGGTGGTGGCAGATTAGGGTGGTAGTGATTTTGGTTGTATTTTTTTTTTGTTGGTGTTCAATGATAATGTAATATTACAATTAATTATTAATGGAAAAATAAATTTTTGTACTTTTGTTTTTTAATTGTGTATTATTTTCTGTTAAAAATCAATTTTTATTTTTATTTTTTAAAGACATAATTGGAAGCGGTTCAGCATTAAACCGCTTCCAATTCCCTTCAAATTGGAAGCGGTTTGAACCGCTTCTCTTTTAAATTGACATTGAGAAGCCCCCTAATGGGAAGCGGTTCAAAAACCGCTTCCAATTATGGTTTTGAACCGCTTCCCATTTACTATTTTCTACTAGTGATAACAGAAGCTTTGAAAAAGAAGGAGAAGGACAACAAGCTTGTTCGTGGTCATCTCCTCAACCACATGAATAATACTTTGTTTGATTTGTTTGTCAATTTCAGGTCAAGCAAGATAATATGGGATTCCTTGGAGAAGAAATATGGGTCGGATGATGCCGGTAAAAAGAAGTACGTGGTGGGCAAGTGGATTAATTTTAAGATGGATGATGAGAAGCCGATCATGTCTCAAGTCCATGTCTATGAAAATTTGGTGACCGAAATTCTTGGTGAAGGCATGAAGATTTGTGAGACTCTTCAAGCCAATGTTCTCTTGGATAAATTCCCTCCTTCTTCGAATGACTATCAGAACCTATTGAAGCACAAGAAGAAGGACATGACCCTCCAAGAACTCATTAGCCACATGAGAACCGAAGAGGCCAATCGCCTCAAGGATAAGTTTGAAACTTTGTCTCTTAATTATTCTAAGGCTAATCTGGTTGAATCTTCTTTGAATGTTTCTAAAAACAGGAAATTCTCCAAGAAAAAGGGGAGCAACAAGTCCAAAGTCAACTCCATTCATAACAACAAAATCCAAAAGGCGAAGGTGACGTGCTATGTGTGTGGAGTCATAGGTCATAAGGCCTACCAATGCACCCACAGGCATGGAGCCAAGAAAGATGGTTCTTCCTCCCAAGTTAATCTTGTTGAAAAGGAGGACATCATTGTAGCGGTGGTGGTTGAAGCCAACTTGGTGGAGAACAAAACTGAGTGGATTTTGGACACTGGAGCATCGAGGCATTTTTGTGCAAACAAGGCATTGATGATTGAGTTTGAAGATGTCTCCGACGGCGATCATGTCTACATGGGCAATAATAGTACCGCCGGAGTCCTTGGCAA